GGGGGTAGATGGTAGTGGTTGGGCTGAGGGAGTAGGAGGGAAGGAGAGAGGAGAAACAGTTGTCAGTACGCAAAATAAAGGAAAAAATGTTAATTCAAACAAGGGAAAAATCAATCAATCAATCAATCAGGCCCTTCATACTATGAAGTTGCCCTAAATTTGAGAACATTAGTTTTCCTCTCATTTTTATTTTTTTTGACAAATTCTCATTATGTAGTAAAAGATTGACCTCAAACTCTTGATTCTCTTGTTTCAGCCTCCCATGTGTGATGTGCATGACGGCACGTTGAGGACCCTCCAGTTTTGGTAGTCTGCTACTATCGTATTTTTGTTGAAATAATAAATTTATTTTAAGTTTATCCTTAGGGAGCTGGGTGACAATCCTTACCAGACAGGGCTGAGAGCATAGGGTCTGCTCTCCTTGGATTGCTCTGGTGTGTTTTCATGTTCTGTGTATTCTCGTTGTTCATGTCTTTCACTGCACTTTAAAAACATTGCCAGTGGCCACGTCAGAGGGGCAGCAGGTGGCAGTTGAGCTCAGGAGTTCAGCTCACCGGAATGCAAGGCACCGATGGGTGACTCTCGGATAGGCAAGGCCCCGAGGGCTTCTGCTCCAGAATGTTTCTTGCTCTTACACGAGTTCTAATTGGACTTAATAAAAACATGGAGACAGATATCAGGGTAAATGCTGAAAGATCAGAGAGACAAAGGAGCAAGCCACAGCTAACTCTTAACTTGCTAACTATCCAGCCCCCCCCCACCCCAAAAGGCTGAGCTCCTGTCTCTTCCCTCCTTATATTCCTCTCTCTGCCCAGCCATCTTCCTGTTTGTACAAACCTCCAGGCCTCTGTGGTAAACTAGTAGCTAGCTCCACCCTCTGATCTTCAAGTAAGCTTTATTTATTAGAGCACAGACAAAATATCACCACATCTTGCTACTGCGGTGCCTTCCCATGTTGGCTGCTGCTGTTTTCTCTGTTATCTGGCATGGTGCGAACGGGTGTGGGTGGGTCCCCTGCTGCCTTTAATGTGGTGTGATTATCTCATGGACAGATCCTCTTCTACTGGGCATTTAACCTGTGGATCATTATGAAGACGATTTCCTCCTAAGCTGTACTGTTTAACTGAAGTAATGATTTTACAGAGTAATAGTGTTAGTTTAAATAGAATTTTGATGATTGAGACTTTAAAAAAAAATGTAGTAAGGGGTTTTGATAGAGTTTAGTTTAGTGGGAAATAAATATAGGTACCGGTAGGTTATAGTGTTGGCCCTGCCCTTGATAAAGCATGGGCTTCTAGGGCTAAAAAACAAAACAAGGAAGTGCCACACAGCTGGGAATGATGAATTTCACTTGGTTTAGACTGATGATTAAGGAAAATGGTTGAGTTCTAGGAGTCAGGCTAGCTCGAGTTCTTTTAATCTTGGTGTTGGGAAATGTGCTCATGGGTTCTGGTGTGCACCATAGCATTAAATAATGACTTCATGTGACTAGAAAATAAAGAATTGGATGGTTAGTTAAGATAATTGGACAGACCTCTAAAATATGAAAAGTGAAACAAGTAGCCTGCTTTCCTGCAATTATAGAAACTCCAGCCTATGTAAACGGTTATGGCTGAAGGCTCCAGACCTGTGGGGAGTCTAAGGGAGAATGCTGAGCTGAGTGTGTGTTCCTAAGAAGATGCAGAAGGGCGTGGCTAAGGAATATAATAGGGTTGACTTGTTCCAGAAAGAGACGTTTTTATGGTGATTAAGTAGTAACCGTGTAACTTTTGGCTATGGAAAAAAAATCCTCCTCTTTGAAATGAATTCTATATTCCCACTTGGTGTGGGGAATATAGACAGGATGTTTGAAAAATAAAGAAAAAGGAAGCTTTTACTCCACAGAAAAGAAGTCTGTGACCCCGGATGGAGGTGGCACACGCTTTACATCCCAACACTCAGGGTGCAGAGGCAGGCGGATCTCTGTGAGCACAAGGCCAATCTGGTCAACAGAGAGAGTTCCAGGACAGCCAGGATTACACACAGAAACCCTGTCTCGAAAAAACAAAACAAAACAAAACAAAAACAACAAAAAAGAAGAAGTTTGTGTTGTATACCCTGCCCCCAACTCTGCATCTGGTTCCCAGTCTCTCTGACCTGTAGAAGGCTGCCTCTGCAAAAATTGAAAGCTATTTATTTTTAGGACCAGATGTGGTGGTACATACCTGCAATCCTAGTATGCAGAGGCAGAGGCAGAGGCAGAGGCAGAGGCAGAGGCAGAGGCAGA